AGAGGTTGGCATGCTGAGGGTTGTTGTTGAGTGCAACAATGAGATTGTCATATGAATGGAAAAGGGATTTCATGATAAAAGGAATAGCTAATCTATCTGTACATATCTTGCCTAAAGTCTTCAGCTTATCAATGATCATCTAAATATCCCCAATATGGTCTCCTATATGTATCTCCTCTCTAGCTTTCTTCAACCCAATAAGCTGTCTCCATATTGTGATGACACTTTCAAGACCCTCAGTGGTATGATAGAACTTGATGTTGTCTCAGGCCTCCTTTGCTGAAGTCACATTTCAAGTCAGGTGATATTGGAAAGGGAGGATATTGCTGACAGTAGTAGCCAGAGCTTCTTCATCTCATCTAACCCAACTCTTTACTGCATTGGAGTTAAGAGACCCAAGCAGCTTGGGCTTGTTTCTATCAGTGACAGCTCAGAGCTTCTTCTTGGTGAGATCCATGCACTGGGTATAAACCCAATCAAAGTAATTGGTGTTGTTGAAGAGAGCAAACTGGTATTTAGACCATGCAAATCATTGTTAAGTAGATGAGAGAACAGCAGAGCTGTAAATGAAGGGTCTAGTGTGTCATTGACCATGTCATGGTCAGCCACCTGATTCTGAGAATCAGATACTGAGGCATGATTGAATTGAACATTTGAGTTTACAGGAACATTTTCCAGACTGTCAGCTAGCATGTTTGCCAATTATATAGAGATACTATTGTTCTCATTATTCTTCTTCTGGCTAGCACTGGAAGAGGTTGAATCTTGAGTTGTCAAGCTACCAACCTCCTTTTCCACCATTTCAGCTTGATGAGAGTCCACAAGACAAACTTTGCCAGTCATTCTTTTGGCAAATGCATTAGCAGATTCATTTTTCTGTGGTTTCTTAGGCAGGTTTGACCAAGAGTTATTTGTAGTGGCAGCAACACATATGGCCACAGCCTCCAGTCTTATCAGAAAGAATGTTGTCCATGCTTGTCTCACCAGATGAGTAGTCTTTGTCATGAGTGGTAAACTCTGATTCAGCCTGCACCATTCCAGAGCTGTTGTTTGCATATATTTGGGATAAAGCATTACTCAAGATATTTTCAACTCCTGGTATATAGATCACTTCAAAATTATAGTCTCCAATTAACTCAATCCAACAAGCCTGACACCTGGATAAGTTTTTCTGCCTCAGTAAGTGAATTAATTCCTTATAATCTGTATACTATTTGAAGTGGCAACCCAATAAGATGTCACAGTAGTGACACATTGTCTCAATGCCTGCAAACATTTCAAGCTCATATACAGGATAATTCTGCTGTGCTGGATTTAGCTTGGCTAAAAAGAATGCAGCCATACATATGTTGTGTCAATCATTACTTTGACTGATGACATCTGAAATTCCAGTCAAGCTGGTATCTGTGATCAGATTAATTGCCAGAGCATCATCCAAATAGTTGAGAGGTACTTGACTATGGTTATGAAAATCTTATACATGTTTCTTGACTTCCTCAAAAGCCCACTGATGAGTTGCTGTCCAGTGGAAAAGAACTGTATTCTCTGTTAGTCCATGTAACACACCTATAGGAATCTGTATGTTTGCCACATCATCAGCCAGATATCCAACAGAACCTAAGAATGCATGTAAGAGATCTCAATTCATTAGAACTTTGCATGCTGCTATGGAGTCAACCTTTACAGAGTCTATATGCACTCCATTGCAATCCACAATATGTTCAAGAATATTGATTTCAGGATTTAGAACATGACACTTCTTTTTGAACAGGTATAGCAAGCTATTCATGATGAAGGATATCAAACACAATTCTGCAATGCTGAACATGGGCCTCTAAGCTATTCAAGTACATCACAATATTGTCAAGGTAAACATTCACAAAGACCCTCATATATGCTGAAAATAGGTGATTCATTAAGGCTTGATATGCCATAGGTGTGTTGCAATCTCCCTGTTGCATAACCAGGCTGACTATATTTCTATCTGGTGTAGTCACCACAGTGCAGTGATATGCTGACTGCATATTCACACTCAGATTTTATGATTTTAGAACAATTCTATTGCAGGTCTGCTCTATGCTGATGTATTCAACAGGATTATAGTTAAGGTCTCAGATTGATGGGCAAAGCAGTAGACAACTAGTAAGGATAGGACTTAGACATGATACCACTAGTGGGTTAAGTTTATCAGCTAGTCATACTAGTAACTCTGAATCAGCTGTGACTGGCAGTGTATAGTCACTAGTAGAAGAGAAACTCATTAATGCCTCAAACTAGAGACAGAAGACAAAGAGCTCATGGAGTGAAGTCATGATCATACTGGTCAAAGCATGAAACATCTAAGTTCAAATGGCTAGCATTATAGCAGACTCAAAACAGAACTTAGAATTGAATAACAGAGCATCAGACCAGGGTCTAGAGCTGGCTAGTGTGATATGGATCTATTATAATCAGCATTAACATCCTCAGACTATTCCTCTAATTATGATCAATGGCTATTACAGGCATGCCAGTTCATTTAGTCAAATATCCTTGACAGCAATAAAGTGTTTCTGAACCTATGAATTGGAGTGAGGCTTTGGCTGAGATTTCTAGATCCACTAGTCAGCATAAACCACTTTTAGAACTCAAATAGTATGATTATTTGTCATGAAACATGACTACTACATAGGAGTCTTATCAATATTGTCCCTTATATTTAACTACAGTTGACTATCTCATAATGCATATGATCAGAAGACACCAAAATCATATGCATTTATAGATTTATGCAGAACCAAAATAGCACATGATGTGACATGTGACTTATGTGACAATGTCATCATTGCCCCAAAATGCTGTCAGTGGCTTTTGGGTCAGCTTTCTATACATCTCCTTGAATAATGCTCCTCTCAACTTCCTCAGCTGTGATACTAATCCACTCTGGTCACCTTGTGAAACACAAAATGCCTCCAGCTTTCAAATAAGCTCAAATCCTTCTCTTGTAGTTATTAAGGTCTGTTCTTCCTCACCCTTCTCTTCCTCCTCTTCCTCCTCATCATCATCAATGACAGTTATTTCCCTATTTTCTACTATAATATCATGCTTGATAGCAGCAACAATCTCATCTGCTGGCATTGCCTCAAGATCTTCAGTATACTCTTCTGCAATAGGGCTAACCATCTCTTCAATAGTTGGAATGGGATCAAACATGTGATTTCATTGTTTCAATTCAACAAGATGGTCCTTCAACATTATCTCTGCTGTCTGGAGCTGTTGAATAGGGGCAATTTGGGTGAAAGATGTGTTCATTTTTGACTGATGAAAGAGCCAACTGATTGACTGCCTTCAGTGCTTTACCAACATCATTCTCTGCATTCATAACAGCCATAAGAGCAGGATGCCAGTCAGCATCAGCATATTGGTTTCCAAGCAGATCCTGCAATGCTTGTTCAATCCCTGAAAGCATGTATTGTCTGTTGAGGCAAAGTCATGAATAAGGTTCCATGCAGACTTGAGGAGTAAGATGTCTTAGAAATCATTGGATGGTGTGATGGACTGTGACTCAGATATATTATCAGGCATTATACCAGTGTGTTTCCAGCAGTTTGCTATTGTTTCACTGCAGACATTTGCCCAAGTATTACAAGCAATAGTCATAGCTTTAAAGAGATCAAGCTTGAAGATCTCAGACTCTCTAAGATCATCGAGATCAAGTGCATAAATACACATAGTATTCTGATAATATACCTTAAAGCAGCAGATAATACCAGCATCTAGCAGCTGGATATATAGAGTCATGTTGGGCTTGAAGAACTCCAGCTTTGTGTTATAGAGTGTATAAGTGATGGAATGCTCTTGAAAGTTATCCAAGGTCAGCAGAACCTGTCGCATCTCCCTCTTCATCTTTAAATCAAACATCTTCACCCACTCTGTAAATATTTTGCTTGTCATCCAGATCTTCTTGTTATTCTAATAATAGAATCCTATTGCTGTTAGACTCTTTTTTTTGAAACACTATAGTTGCTTGGACTTTTTAATAAAAACAACTGGCATCTGCTCACTCCCATCTGCATTCATGGCAAAACACATGGTGATGTGGAACTTGTCCTGTTTCCATCTACTTATAGGATCAGATGCCAAGGTATGATCTGGGATGGCAAAGATGACAAGATCAGATTCATCAATATTCCATCTGTCCTGCATTGCATATTTCACTATAATGCTGTGAAGGTGCACACATTCTTTTTCCACTGCCACCATATCCACTGAGCCTGCTTCTCCATGCCTTGCATAATGATCTCAATGATCCCTCTCCTTTCAAACACTGATCCTCTGGAATATTCATCAGATTTTCAATCTAATTTTGCTTCTCTATTAGCATTGCATCAGTCACAGTTTTATCTTGGAGCTGCATATTCTGATATCAGGATGCAACAGCATGCTCCACATCAGGTCAGATGACAATGCAAGACTTTTTGAATGATAGAGCATTAGGGTTCTTGTTTGCATGCTGTTCAATTTTTGTATGAGATGCCAGTTTCTGTGAAAGAGTTGGTTGAGTAAAGAGCAGTGCATCTTTCTTTTGGTTTGCAAAATGTGCCACAATGTCAGCATGTTGATGGGAAGGATGGTTATCAACATATTTGAATACTACAAGCCAGTCTCCTGTTGTGAGGTGTAGGCAAGAGATCTGCTTTGGCATCTGAGCTGATAATGTGTACCTTGGAACTTTCTCCTTCTGTTTTGTATGCTCATATGGATTTCCAGGTTTAGCACATGGTTTTCATGTTGGTTCAGGAGGCATGTTTATAGAGATATAGGCTGCATCACTTTATAATAATTTTTTTGTGTTTGTCATAGTCTATACAAACAAATTATGTTCTTTATTGTTCTAATATATGCACAATGTCATATTGGCTTACTACAATTTTGGATCTGACAATGCATATTCCTAACTAAAACCATATGCATTTCTAGCCTATTTCTCTACTTTCCAACTGCATTCCAGCCCAATCCATATGCAAAGTCAGAATTATGCATTTCAACATCATGCATTGTGAGATAGTCAACTGTACCTTCATTCATTCTAGCTGTTTTCTGAACATTTTCCAACAGTAGTAAACTTTCAGTGTCAAGCATGTGGGGCCTTGTAAAAGATGTTCTCACTGAAGCCAATGGTGAGAAGAAGTGGAAGTTTGTTGAGACCATTGAATTGCAGATTGGTCTGAAGAACTATGACCCTTGGAGGGATAAGCATTTCAGCAGAACCATTAAGTGTGTAGCTTGTTATTTTGCCTTAGAGGTCACTAAGAACATGTAATCCTAGGCTCCCCAATGTTCCTCATCTCAGGATGTCCATTTGCATTCTTGCTGATGCTGCTGACATTGATCATGCCAAACAGGTTGAGCTCGAGTACATGTCCATTGATGATTTGAAAAAGTGAGTGATCTGCTGGAGCCAGCACTGAATGATTTTTTTTTATGGATGAGGTACATGCAGGCTTAACAAAAACAAGAAGCTTGTCAAGAAGCTCACTAAGAAGTACAATGCTTTCTTAGCTTCTGAGACTCTTATCAAGCAGATCCCTCATCTCTTGGGTCCCGGTTTGTCCAAGGGTTTGTTACCGACTCTTCATCTCATATGAACACTGTGAGGCTAACAAATATGCAGCTGGAAATTTCTCCACACCAGTGTCGCATGCTGAAGACCTTTCCAATAAGCTAACAGAGGTCCACTCTACCATCAAGTTCCAGCTCAAGAAGGTTCTGTGCTTGGGCATCACCATCAGCCATGTCCAAATGACTGAGGACCAAGTCCTCGCCAACATCATGCTCAGTATGTATCTTCCCCACCTGAGGTCCCTGAACTGGATGCTTATCCTTTTTTTTTTTTGGTAGGCATCAACTTTCTGGTGTCTCTTCTCAAGAAGAACTGACAGAACATCAAGTCCCTCCACATCAAGACTGCCATGGGCAAGCCTGTCTATGTCTCCTAATAAGGGAAACAAACATAAATTTTGATTTTTTCTAAGATGGATGGGTGGTGATAGATATAAGAAACCTGCATGGCTGTAATACATTCTATGAAGCTCTGCATGCTTGTACCAATGGCTTTCAGAGGAGGAAGGCCGATTGGGAGCTGATATGATTGCATGGTTTATCATCTCTTGTCACTATGTTTATTAAGATATTATTTTATAATCATACATTTGTTGTTAATGTAGCAACACTATGGGTTGCTAAAACTGAAGTTTTGAACTTGAGTATTGTTGACCTCTCAGATTGATGTACACTTCTGATGGTATCACAGAAGGGGGGGAAGACTCATCAATATCAGGTATAGCTTCATCTTTTATCATATACATATTCTAACCATTCTATATACCACAGCCTTCATACTGAGATGAGAAGTGGAGGAGGCTCTGGCAGTGCAGTGGTATGTAATTCTTGGTAATATTTCCTATGGCTTTCAGATGCCAGGGTTGTAGAGGTGTGGGAGAGATAAATTACATCGAATTAGAAGGGCTGCATCTCATACAGCAACCATGACTTGGATGACCAATGGTAAGTTTATGTGCTCCTTTCAATCTCGATAGTGAATTATCATTGTCATAGATGCTAATGACTCCTTGGATGATTCTCTGATCCTTGTTGTACATATCTATGATGCATTGTCTTTCCTTGGATTTTTGCTCCTCCTTGCAGTACTGCTCCTGGCAGCTCTTTCCAAGCAAATAAAGTGCAGGTGAACATGGTACAGTCTGATAATATCTTGGATGATTTTCATGTTCTTGTACCTATACCTCATGAACGATCATTTCTGCAATGAACCTCATTTTAGAATGTGTCTTTCTCAAATGTTATTGGTGTATTCAGTGCCTCTGCTGTAAGGGCTTGGTGTTTTGTTTATTTATTTTTTTTGGTGCTAATTATGTGTCCAGAGTTGCAAGCATGGGGTTCTATTTCATTCTAGATGTAAAAGTCTGTTTGAAAATGGGAGATATGCATGTACTAACACCTCAGATCAGATATACTTGGAACTTTGCAATACAACCATTGGTGGATCCAATGTCTCCATAGTCTGTCATGACATGAGTACTGCCCTCTGGATATCCATGAACAGTCACTTATGAACAATCAAACAGATGGTCTTAACACCTTGGGTTCTCTGGGTCTTGATGATCATGACAACAGCATTTGTGAGTAAAAACAATTGTGAGAAGCAGATCTCTAGGCCTCTTGCTCATGCTATCCATCCTACATCTGCAGCTGATCAAGGATCCCACTCAAATATCCTGGGAATCATCTCACATGTACTGTCATAGCAACACCATAGCACAGTTGGTTTTTTTTTTGCTTTTTCTCATCCTTTGCAAAAACGTTAATCAACATTAGACTTGTAGTTATGCTATGTGTAATGTTCCCCTTGGCTGTCTCCTGCATTCTCTTTGAAGGTACTTGACCATCTCTCACATCCCAAACCCTCTACTTATAGACAATCCACAGCAGGGCTGATGGGTCATCTACTGTATTTCAATTGAACTGTCTTCCAGTAGTACTGTGTCGATAAAGCTAAAGACAGCTGTAGCAGATGGGTATCCCTCTCAATGATCATTCACCTTGTTTGCTTCACAATGATTCCACTAGCCACACTTGAGTATGTGCATCTCTCCAAATAGAGTGGTATCCCTTGTGACTTGATGTTATCTCATCATGTAGCCTGGCATCATTCGTAGCCACACATCAGATAGAGTCTAATGCCACTTGGAATATTCTCCTGGCATTATATATGCTAACTTCTTGCACTGCCCAAGCCCAGTTTTTTTGCTTATATGCTGACTGCTGCTGCTGCATTTAGTGCCAATTTTGGCTATCTTGTTATTTGGCACACAAAAGGTTACTTGCTCTGTTTAACTGGTAGGCCCTATTTGTGTGGTTAATGGCATCGCTGATACAGTCGTACTCACAAGAGTGTAGATTCCCTCAGAATGAGCATTTCATCTTTTTCAATGCAAAGCTCATTTGTATCCATATTGGAATTTTGAAAGTGACAGTCCAACTTTATGCGATATAAACCCAGAGGCCTGAGTGTTTGGGCTGAGCCATCCCATGGTTCAATTAGGTGGCCAAACTTCAAACATGAAGAAAAACACTCTTTGATTATAATCACTAAGCAGAGAGTATCTCCAGTCTACTGTACTAGATGCAAGAGAGAAGATAGCCATACCTTTGTTCTCAGATCTCTGAAAACAAAACAAAGACGGAGATATTCAGGGCTTATAATTTGTCAGCAACATCAAGTGGCAAGAGAGACAGGTGGTCTATAATAGTTGGCCACTTTGTAATGTTGTCATAGTGCACAAACTGGAGTACTTTTAGTAATAGGTTCAATTTGCCTACATTAAATAATGCATGAAAAAGCTGAAATACAGCTGTGCATTCTGCTCTCTTAGACTTCTGCAACTGCCTTTGTGGGATCATATACTACTACTACTCTCATAGATCTAAGGTCCTGAATGAATAGCTCAGTACTGATGCCATGACCACTTCATAAGGAGAAGTATATCTAGTAATGACAAGTAACAAAGATGTGGCCTATCCAGATCCACTGATTTTGCTGGACATTCTGTGAATTCAAGTGACTTTGAAATCGAAGCAATGATGCCATAGTACTTTTACTCCAGGAGTCATCTGGATGTGCATCTCCTGCTGCAATGCAACCAACCAGTATTGTCAGCACGATTCTCTAGTATAAATATTGTAGTCATAATAGAGAAAGAGAAGACAGGTTGGATGCACTCTTATCACACTTGCCAACTCTTTGATATAATATCCAGCTGGCTCATTCCGAACTTCCAACACCATCAGAATGACTATCATGGAGAGTAGAGAGATACAGATTCTACAAGCATCTCTATCACTCGCTGAAATACATTAATCCTTTCTGCAGCATTGCCAACTCTTAATATACAGTAGATGATGAGAATTGTGCACCATAGCAAGGTTGCCAATATGAGCGAGGAGTATAGCATGGACCAGCTGACCACACTCTGGAGGAATAGGGCTTGGGGAGGAGTTTTTTTATCAGATCCAAAGGCAGAGTAATAAGTTATGATGCTTCTGCCAACTAGGTTTTATATTAGTGCTGATAAGTCATAAATCATTAGGTTTATGAATTCAAAGACATGCCTATTGCCATGATAGTACAAGCAATCAGAACAACCACAATGCTCCACAATTGACTCCAGACAAGCCAACAGCACCATATCTAGGAATCCATAAGCAAGAACAGACATATAAACAATTATTAAATCTCATACCAAAGTAGCATCAGCAAGAACTGCACTCAGAGTTGCACCAACCACCATAGTCCATGGGACAGGAGTAGTAAGAGTATTGTTAGACTCAAAGGTGGCTTCCCAAAAGGTTTTCACATTAGTACATAAGAGAACCTGTGTCCATTCATCATAAAGGTTGACAGCCCGCAGAAGATACAAAAGCAGGATGATCAAAACAAGAAACCACAACCTTCTACAATTCTGGCAGTTCTTCTTTGAAGCTAGACAAACCATCTGAGTCAAAGAGATGCATATTGAAAGAATGAAAGACACAGACCTACAGCCCACAAGGCAATGGCTACCACTCCAGTGTATATCCCTTCGAAAAATTAGTTGACTGAAATTTCCTCAGGTGAATTAAAACTCTCTTACCATATAATAATGCATTAAAAAGTGTCCTGTTGAAGATTGTGTCCAGATACACAAAGGTAGCTTTGATCTGGCTGTCAGTTAGGTCTGGTATAGTAGTCCCAGTATCAGTTGTAGCAGTTATGATAGCGATTCTAAAGAAAGAATATATGTCTTTTTGCTGAACCACCAGCAGGTCATTATATAGTAGAGCATGACATCAGATTCATGATGATGCAGCCAAAGTGTCACACATTCACTTGAATGGAGGTGATGATAATGATGTGTTCTGATATTTGATATGCAGATTAGGCACCTGGGCTATTGATCTTCAATAAGCATAGCCTTCAAGGTGGAAGTACCTCATCTGTTTTATGATGGTCATGAAAAACCCATTGAATTTAGGCTGAAGTGCATACAAAATTTGACCTCAAAAGTTTTCTGCTAACTGAGAGTCCTGAGAGCTCAATGACAAATTATCTGTCCTTTCTGTAATGAGAACTAGGCTGAGTAGCCAAAGCAACATAGACAACACTGAAGCCTGAGGATAAAAGGCACAAAGAACATATAAAGAGGCAGTGTTCACAGTTTGAAGACCTTGCAAGAACAGCATCAGTGATGAGTTTCAGAAAGACCGAGAAGTTCAGGTATGAAAGGAATGAGCATCTGGACATAATAATGGAGAGATGACAGGAAAGGTAGAATTGAAATTCTTGATTTGTGTAGAAACTGGTCCAGCATCTCATCAGGCTTTCAAATAAATGAGTAGTAGGACTCAGAAATGTTTTCCAGCAAGATGAAGGAAGCCACTCTGGTCAGAGACTTGAATCATCTCAGAGATGCCCAGACAGATCATCTTAATCTGGACATCAACACTATTTTTGTACCGATTTTTTGAGCAAGATAGATTCCTCATTATGGATGCATTTATAACATTTGCTGCTTTTTCAATGTTGTCACTATCAAACAGAGGGTGGAGCTATGTTCTGTCCATCTGTCATTCAGACATATGGTGCTGATGGATTTATTGTTCACCATATCTTGATACAGAACTATGCTGAAAGCCTTTGGGTGATGATAACCAGGTGTACTCAGATGTTAACATTTTGTTTCTTATCTCATGCACTTCAAGTGAGTTATCAGGACCAAGAGCTCATGCTCAAAGAAAGTGACAGAATGAGGCTAGATAATCAGAGAATCCTTTCTTCACCCTCATTCCATAATTATCAAGCTCCCATAAGTGATGCCTTGAATGAATAACACCAGTTGCCATGCACTTTAAGGTTTTTCTTTGAAAAATAGAGATTGCACCTTGTACCTACTACAAGATGAGAGCAACAAGTGAGGCAGACAGTCACATATCATCATCTACAAGTTTCATGAGCTAGTAGCCATGCCAATGAAAGAAACATGCACTTGAGTGGTGAAGGCATCTCTTTGAGAGCCTCAATAAGAACTAGCAGAATGTTCTTTGCACTAAGATCATGCATGTATAAGTTTGCATATGGAGAAGAGTTTTCAACATATGATAAATAGTCCCAGACACACTAACATGTCCAGTCTAGGTGCATTACTATGGGCTGGCATCACTCATCCTGGGATAATTTGGGCATCTGATGAGATACAGAAATGTTATTGATAAAATGAAGGAAAGATGCAAAGAGTTGCCATCACTTGATATCTCAAAGTAGAAAGTGGTCTCCTAACTTCATTGTGATACAAGACCAGATGAAACACCTTGCCTTGAAATCCAGTAAGTGAGTGGGAAATGACAAAGAACACATCTGTATACCTTGACACTACAACTTTGATGTGAACTACAGTCAAGCAAGTCACCACTCAATTTGTAGCAGGTAAAAAAAATTCTGATTAAAATGAGACCTACAGAAATGGTACTCTCAGCCTACATACCACATACCAGATGTTATATGCAAGAGGAGATACTGTTGCTTCCCAGGCATTTGAAAACAAAACAAAGAGAGAAGCATTCAGAGTTCCCAATTTGTCATCAGCTATGGCCACACAAGGTTGAACTCTTTTATAGCTCCAATATGGACATGAACTCACTTTAGACTCAAGATGATGAGATTCTCCTCTCTGAGAGAATTTACTCCCTAGTGAATGTGAT